AAAACTTTGGAGGGGGTTCTGTAGGCTGTCTAAAAATCACGATGGATAGCTGATCCCTATCAAGCTCCGACAATGGAAGTCACAATCAGACGACTTTCTAATCACTGTATTCGCAATTCTACAATCGCTACAAACACGGCCTCATTTCTGAGATGATTGATCTTGATGGTTGCGACAACAACATGACTAATATTATATTAGCAACTATTAGAGATGCTGATGAGCAGTGTAATGATTTCAGAAATAAAAGATTGGACGTAGTTGGTGAGTTGCTTGGTAGAGAGCTGTGGGCAAATATTCATCTAAAAACACTATGGATGTTGATTCCCGTCAAGTTCCTACAACGAAAGCTACAATCAAATAGCTTTCGCGCCGACAATCGAAAGCTGCAAATGGAGGACTTTTCACATAGATCGAGAAGAGTTACAATTCAACGACACTTCCGACAATTGATGAAAACTCTATTCAGCAGTCTTCACATTCTGCAGTGAAAGTTACAATCTGACGATTTTCACACTCCACAACAGCTAAAGCTAGGATTACTGAACAACGATCCTTGCAACACTTTACAGAAGAAGTTACAAGTCAACTAGCTCCTTCTAAAACGCGGATGTCATCCCCGCGTTACACTTCTGGAAGTGCAGGCGACCCCCGCGTTTCCAAGCACAAGCTAAACGTGAGCAAGCCACCCGCGCGTTCGTAGGGGTTCAACCAACACCGACCCCCGCGTTCCCAAACTATAACAAACCAAAACGCGAGTGACCCTCGCGTTCATTGGTGTTCAGCTAATACCCAACCTCGCGTTTCATTTCTGAGAGGCGACGTTGGGTTCTGAACGCCAGATTGGGCGTTTGACTCGTTCAAATACGAGCTGAACGGTTTCAGAACTGTTTCCCCACGATCTGAGGAAATCACGCCCACTTAGGAGCGGATTTAGAGCCTCTTATCCCCCTATAAAAACTCAACAAACTCAACTGAGTTAAGGGCTGGCTTTTTGGAACGGAAGAGTTGGCAGCAGGTTGGATTTTCAGGATCTCAACCACTCAGGTTTGGTGATTCAACAGCAGCAGTAGTAAAATCCTTGGAGATAGGATTTTTGAATCAAATTCAGAAGATCAAATCTGAGAGGATTCTTCAATAACAGAATATCAGCTTGGTCATTAACCGAATTTTCGGTTCTAACAACTCTATTAACAGAGTTTTAACTCGTACAGAGTTCTTAAACTCATTCAGAGTTATCCATTAAACTTTCCACAGAAGTTCATCGTTCCCACGAGATAGAAGACGGTCGGATCGTCAACGGAGAGCAAATTCGACGCGAGCAATCGAAGGAGGCATTCCATCGCTACCGAGAAGAACCCAGTTTTAAACAAAGGAGAGAATCAAATTCGTTCTCTTCTCTTTTGTAATCAAATTGTAATCAGAATCAAAGGAATACAAGTCAATTTTCTGGGTCGATCCCTGTATCACCTTTCGATTAAACAAGAATAGAAAAAGAGGGGGTTCAAGAGTTTTAAACACTCAAGACGAATTTACTTCTTCATTAACCCCTCACTTACGAAGTCAAAAGTACATTTACAATGACAAAAAAATGGGAGGAAGGAAATATAACTAGTTCTCATTTTTTTTACCTACATGGTCCTATGGAGGTGGAGCGGCCGCATCGGCAAGTGTTGGACCCTCTTGGCCCTGAACGCTGACATCAGCGGAAGGATCTATGTTCATTTATTTTTCCCTTGCATCCGGTCACAGCCGCATCCAAGCGAAATGGGTTGACTGTTATGGGTGTTCCATGTTACTTACAAATATACTATCCCGAGAATAGACCCAGTCGAGCCGGTGTTACTCCCTAAAGACGACTCGAAAGGCGAACTCAGTCCGACGAAAGATTGATACTCAGCAACCGGTCAACACTTCCCCCGAAGGCGACTCAGAACATTACTTCCTAGCATTATTTTACCATTTATGGTTATCATTACAACGGCTGCTGATTCCCCATGCCACAGAAGCGATTCCATGTCACTCGCGTTGACAAGCCTCAACGGCTGCTAATTCCCCATACCACAGAAGTGACTCTATGTCACTCATAGACAAGCCTCAACGGTTGCTGATTCCCCATGCCACAGAAGTGACTCCACATCACCCGCTGACAAACCTCAACGGCTGTTGATTCCCCATGTCGCTGAAGTGGCCCGCCATCACTCATCAACCGACACGAATAGGACCGAGGATGACTCAGCCTCCAGCTCACCCCTTGCCATCATCATGAGCCGCCTCCTCACTAAATACATGTTCTGCCCTTGACATCCTCTATAAATACAGACGCTATTCATCCTGAAAAGAGGTTCGATCTCTCACTACCTAGAAAATTCTCTAGTCACATATTAGAAGGAGATACTATTCTTCTATTACTTGACCCAAGTCTACCAGCTGACTTGATCGTCGGAGGTACCATGGGGAAAACAAGCCCCGTACTCCCGCGATTCTTGTGTGTGCAGGTGATCCGCCTACCCCGAGCTCTAAGAACCAAGCATAAAGTCGAAGAAGGAAAGCGGCTCTCCATCCCTCTCGACGATCCAATCTCTCAATGATCCAACAACTCTGTAATCCTCATCGACTGTTTGTTCACGAGCATCAACAGGACCAAACCTAAATAGTCCTCTTAATTAACCTCCAACAAACCCTAAAGCTGCCCACTTGAAGCAAAAACCACGTCAGCAAACAGGGTTTTCACCTTCGGCCGGCTCCCCCTCCCCCTCTTAACTCCGGCGACAGGTCCAGCTGCCGTCACCGGCGACATCACCACCCCATCCGCACTGTCCTTCTTCGGCTTGGGGTTTTTGAGGTTTGAGAATCGCCTCTTAGGGTTATGTGAATCAATTATATTTGGGGAAATGAAACGAATGAGAGAGATACTGCTGGTTGTATTTTGGGATGAAGGGTAATTTAGGATTTTTATTTTTTTAGGAAAATACAGTATAAAAAATAAGTAGTTTAAAAATAAATGACATAAGATACTTTGAGTTTATAAATATTTATATAAGTGGGTAGGTTTTCAAATAAGTGGGCGTTAAACTATGGGTGAAAATAGAAAAACCCCATGATATAATTATCATATAAGACGTAGAATCATTCGGACAGAAATTTAATATTATTTATACGTGGATTTGCGGCAAACGCTAGTTTATAGTGAAGAGTTTCTTTTCTGGACGACGCCGATCCGTTCGTGTCCCTCCTGGATATCGCTTTCGTGTCCGCATTCAATTCATTTCCTGTATGTGGGCCCGACGTTGTAACAGCTACCATCAATGGACACGTGTCCTCCGCTTCTACAGTGCACTCTTTTTCTTCGATCGAGAACCATATTATTATTCCTAAAAAACAAAACGGGGCAAACTCCAGCTGAAACCTAAAAAAATTCTGTCTTTTTCCCCTTTGGAATCCCTAGCGATTGCGGTTCTTCTTCGATTTCGTGCTGGTAGCTGATAAATCTCTTGTTTTATTTGTGCAATTTCAAATTTGTTGCAGGTTTCTCTTTCTGTTTATTTCCTTGATTTGTTTTAAAGAGTTACTGTCTTGTTTTTGGACAAATTTAGGGGTACTCATTGTTTTCTTAATGTTATTTCTAGCTAAACTAGAAAAGGCTGACATATTTTTTCCGTTCATTTTTTGGCAAAAATCCGGTTTTTTTTTTCATTTGCGGTTGGGTGTTTTCTTGAAATTGTGATTATTGTGTGTGGGTTTTTTTTTCGACTATGGAAGGTTATTGATTTTCTATTTTGTGAATATTTTTTTTTTTTTGCGGAATTAAAGAGAGTATACTCGCGTATTTGTATGCAGAAAAAGATGATTCTTGTAATGGAATTTGTGTATAAAAGAAACATTTTAGACTTTTCTTTTTCTCCTCCTCCTCCTTTACGTTGCTTATCTAGTCAATTCCTAGCTTTTGAAGGGAATTTGATTCTTAACTTTTGAACAACTCTAAATTTGGCGTAGTCTTTTTTTTTATTATTATTAAAAAAGGAAAGTTAGGCTTGTGATGATGGGATTAAGACATTCTCATCATCCTTAAAAACCAAGTCCATTTCCTCCCTTGCTTTTTCACCCCTCTTATCTGTAGCTCTCAGATAAAGAGATTTGGGTACAAATTGGTGATCAAATTGGGTTATTTTCTATTTGTGTAGGAGCTTAATTGAGATGGTCAGTGGGAGACCAGTAACTGGGAATTTAGATTTTTGGTTTAGAAACCTCGTGGTTGGTGATAGCAAGGGAAACGTGGAAGGAATGGCCTTGAGTGGATGGAAGGATCTTCCAATGGAACTCTTATTGAGGATTGTTTCGCTCAGTGATGATCGGACTGTTATCGTTGCATCGGGGGTCTGCACTGGGTGGAGAGATGCAATTTCTGCGGGATTGGCACGCCTCTGTCTGTCATGGTATTCGTTCATCTTTCTCAATGTTTTCCTGTTCCTGCTAAATGGAGATTTTGAGTAATTACTGTGAATTAATAATAGCAAATGGATTTTGAGTAATTACTGTTCTTCCTTATTTTTTGCAAATTTCCCTTATTTTAAGGACATCCTTGCTGTAAACTAAGGTGAGAATAATGAGGGTTGAGCATGTTCCTTGTTTGTTGTTTACTTCAAAGTGAAGTACATTCACTTGCAAGTTGCAAGGGAAAGGGTTATTATTATGATGTTTTAACGATTCCTAGTTCTCATGCCAGATGAGAAGCATATTTTAAGAATCCTTGGGCGTCCCTATATTTCATAAAAGATAGCAATCTTCACATTGAAGGCTTAAAGGAAGCATATACGGTTCCTCAAAATATGAGTTAATTGTGGGTACATCCCATGTACTGTAGCCCAATTGAGGATAGACCCCTTGTAGTTGCAGATCTATTGGTGAGGACATTCCCCTTTACTGTTGCCCAGGTGCAGATAGACCCTCTGTGTGAATTTTTTTCGCTCTTGAAAAAGTCCCAAAAGTTCATTTTGGGGATCAATTCACACCAATAGAACTGCAAGGGATCTATCTGCAATTGGGCTATAATGCAAGGGGTATATCCACAATTATTAGGTAAAATATTTGGTACTTTGTTATGGATAGTCTAAATTTTGTATCTTGCTATCTTGAAGACGAGTTAGTTTTGTCATTAGGATGTAGGGTCACCTTAAAATTCTGATTGATAGTTGCAGTCTATATTTTGTATCTTGCTCATTTGAAGAGTTAGTTTTGTCATTAAAATGTAGCATGACCTAATAATTCTGGGTCTAAGAGTGAACTTTGGTATTGGTATCAAAGTATTGCATAGACAAACATCTGAATAATGGGTGTATGCACTTGTCTTTTCAGTAACATGACTTAGGTCATATATGCTTTTTTTTGTGCCTCTTCTCTGCTTTAGTATCGTGGTTCCATCAATGTTGTAGACCTGTAGTTGATCCACTTTGAGGTTCTAGGTTTCCTTTATTTTTCATGTGTCCCTTGTGGTTTGAAGATTTCGTCAATAACTTCCAGTGTCATGGTTCCATGTATAGCTTTTTATATACTAACTTTCTTAGCCCTCTTCTCCTGTAATCCTTGTGAAGAGATCTGAGCATTTTTTTGAGGGTATTGCTTTCTTTGTTGTTACATTGTGGAACTTCTAGTCATCTCTTGTTTTTCGTTTGCTGTCTCATGTTGGGGCTTTGTTTGTTGGGAATTTAACGCCTAAATCCCCTAATGCAACGGAAACGCGGTATAGAGAACAGTACACCAAGATTTACGAGGTTCGGCAACTGCCTACGTCCTCGGGAGCCACACAGTTAATTTCTTATTTAATCTAACAAGAAATTACAAGTTAAGAGCAAATCTCTAAACTGAGATTCCTCAAACTTAAACACTGTAGATACAGTGTTAATACCCACTTTAAAATACCCTTTTCTCTTTTTCTGACTCTTCTTAAACCCTTTCTTTATCTCCCCTCAAATCCCTAATTTGAGAGCTGGAGATCAAAAATAAAATCGCTGCTGCGATTTTCAAAGAGGGGCCGAAAAATTGAACGCTGCTGCGTTAGGGATCCGAGGGTCGCGTTCGCCCAAAGCCACCATCGCGTTCGCCAATCGAGCTCAACTGCTCGAGTTCGTCTGCGTCTTCCTGGAGCTCGTCGGAGCTCCTCCGCCGTTGGAGGTTGGTATCCATCTTCAACCTAACAATCTCCCACTTGGAGACCAAACCGACGCCAACAGACTATCTCATCAAGCTCCTCTCCTGTGTGGCTCCGCCCTCATCATCTATGCATGAAGGCCAACTGAAGTTGCACACAACTTCAGTTTCTGAAAGGTCGCTGCCTTTGTCAACATATCCGCTGGATCCTTTCTTCCTTGGATATTCTGTTGAAATCCTTTGACAACTCGTCGGGCTCTGTATCTTCTGGAACCACCCTGTTCCTTCTTCACTCGATACACCCACTTGTTGTGACGTGCCTTCTTCCCCATGGGCAACTCAGCTAGTCCCCATGTCTGGTTGGAGATCAGAGATTTCTTCTCTTCTTTCGCAGCAAACTCCCACTTGCTCGCATCTCCACTCTGACAAGCTTCATCAAAGCTTTCAGACTCTCCTCCATTTGTCAGCAACATATAATTCATGTATCTGCTGTTAGGCACAGGAGGACGAGTAGTTCTCCTCAATATCGGAGCTGGTGCGTCGGGCTCCTGCGCACCGTTCTGTCCAACAGGCTCTTCTGGCTGAGGACCTTCTGCATTGGGTTCTTCCGAGAGGTTATCTGGGACATCATCTGTATCTACAAATGTTGACTCGCTCTCTGAGTCACCGTCATCTGTCTTGTGCATGTCCTTGTACATCACCTTCTCGTTGAATGTCACATCTCTGCACCTGATCACCTTCTTGTTTTCGTTGTCCCAAATGCGGTAGCCGAACTCGTCTTCACCATACCCGATGAATGTGCATTTCTTGGACTTGGGATCAGGCTCATTCCTGCCTTGATCACTTATATGCACATAAGCTACACAACCGAAAACTTTGAGATGTGAGAGGGTTACCTCCTTTCCGCACCATACCTCTTCTGGTATTCTGTGCTCCAATGGAACCGATGGACCTCGGTTGATCAAGTAAGCTGCTGTGTTGACTGCTTCTGCCCAGAACTGCTTCGGTAGACCTGACTGCATCCGAATGCTTCTGGCTCTCTCTGTCAACGTTCTATTCATGCGCTCAGCCACACCATTGTGCTGAGGCGTGCCGGGCACGGTCCTCTCCATTCTGATACCGTGCTCATAGCAGAACTTCTTGAATCTGGTGTCTTCATACTCACCACCATTGTCTGTTCTGAGTTTCTTTACCCTCAAACCGGTCTCATTCTCGACCATGGCTTTCCATCTTCTGAAAGCCTCAAACACTTCTGACTTTTTCTTCAGAAAGTAGACCCATACTTTCCGAGAGTGATCATCAATAAAAGTCACGAAGTAGTGTTTCCCACCAATCGACGCGGTGGTTGTTGGTCCCCAAACATCTGAGTGAACAAGCTCTAGCTTCTGCTTCCTGGGGGGTCTGCTACTTGCCTGAAAGCTAACTCTGTTCTGCTTTCCAAGTATGCATTCTTCACACACATCAATCTCTACTGATTGTAAACCTGGGAGTTTTCTCTTTGTGTGCATAACCTTCATCCCCTTTTCACTCATATGACCGAGTCTCTGGTGCCACAGCTTTGAAGTCTCATTGCCTGCCGCAACTGAGATCGAACAACGTGCACCTGCTGTCATATACAGTGTACTAGTCTTCCTGTCTCTGGCAATCGTCATTGCGCCCTTCGAAATCCTCCAGTCATCGCCATGGAAAGTCATCGTGTAGCCTTCACTAGCCAGCTGGCTTACTGAGATTAAGTTCCTCTTCAGGTCGGGAATATACCTGACATCCTTCAGCTCCCATACTGACCCATTCAGCTTAATCTTCACTACACCTTTGCCAATAATGGCACATGCTTGATCGTCACCAAGATATACATTTCCAAGGTTTCCGGGGATATACTTCTCGAGGAATTCTTTCTGAGAAGTAGCATGGAATGATGCTCCCGAGTCCAACACCCAAGACTCCTCCTTGCTCTCCAAAGAGCATATCAGCGCATCATCTCCTCCTGAGGTGGAGGCAACATTCACATCTGCATTTGCCTCCCACTCCTCCCGTGCACTCCTGCACTGATTCTTGTAGTGCCCGGTTTTCCCGCACTTCCAACACTCGATAGCCTTCGAACTGTTGGGATTTCTGGATTTGGATCTCCTATCATCTGATCCATTTCCTCTGGTTGAACTTTTACCTCTTGACTCTGTATGCAATACTGAAGAGGTTGTAGCTTCACCCGACTCTCTCCGTCGGATCTCCTCACTGAGAACCAGATCACGAACGTCGTCAAACTTCAACTTATTGCTTCCCGATGAGCTACTCACAGCTGTGACCGTAGCGTTCCAACTCTCTGGTAGGGAAGACAAAAGGATCAACGCTCGAACTTCCTCATCAAACTCAATATCAACTAAACTCAATTGGGTCGTGACTGTATTGAGTTCATTGAGATGATGTGCTACCGATGCACCTTCCGCCATTCGCAGATTAAACAACCGCCTCATCAAATGGACTTTATTTGAGGCTGATGGCTTCTCATACATATTTGAGAGTGCTGCCATAAGATCTGCCGTGGTCTTCTCCTTTGCAATGTTAAAAGCAACATTGCGGGTTAACGTCAAACGAATAACCCCGAGGGCTTTTCTGTCCAGAAGATTCCAATCTTCTTCCTTCATACCCTCCGGCTTCTTCCCCGAGAGAGGTTGATACAGATTTTTCTGATACAGATAATCCTCTATCTGCATTTTCCAGAATCCGAAATCTGATCCATCAAACTTCTCTATTCTCACCTTCCCTTCATCTGCGGCCATGGCTCCCACTTGAATCTGATTTTCTCTAGATGGTTTCACGCTCTGATACCAGTTGTTGGGAATTTAACGCCTAAATCCCCTAATGCAACGGAAACGCGGTATAGAGAACAGTACACCAAGATTTACGAGGTTCGGCAACTGCCTACGTCCTCGGGAGCCACACAGTTAATTTCTTATTTAATCTAACAAGAAATTACAAGTTAAGAGCAAATCTCTAAACTGAGATTCCTCAAACTTAAACACTGTAGATACAGTGTTAATACCCACTTTAAAATACCCTTTTCTCTTTTTCTGACTCTTCTTAAACCCTTTCTTTATCTCCCCTCAAATCCCTAATTTGAGAGCTGGAGATCAAAAATAAAATCGCTGCTGCGATTTTCAAAGAGGGGCCGAAAAATTGAACGCTGCTGCGTTAGGGATCCGCCGCCAGAGGGAAAAACTCGGGGAGGAGGAGCAAGCCCAAACCCTAGGGCTTCGAGGGGCTTTTATAGCCGAATCGAGACAGGCTGGCGACAGCCTGTCGCCAGCGATCACTTGGACGCGGAGGTGGGAGCGTCTGGACGCGAAGGTCGGCATCCCGAAGGCCGAGGGTCGCGTTCGCCACGAGCATCGCGTTCGCCACGAGCATCGCGTTCGCCTGTTCGAGCTCCATCTCGAACTGAGCCTGGAGTTCACCGTTGCCACCCACGCTCACCTGCGTCAACCTGGAGCTCGTCGGAGCTCCTCATCGCCGGCGGAGGTTGGTTTCCACCCCCAATTCTAACATTGTTGTCATGCCTCGTGCAATTTATTGTTGCCTTATAATTGTCCGAGCCATTTCATCATTTGGTTGGTATGATGTTTTTTGCTGTTAGTTTTTTGTCATGTCGGCCCTAGTTCATTTCTTATATGTTACATCATTTAGCATTTAGCCTCTAGATATATGAAGTTGGAAGGTTCTAGTTTACCTAAGAAACTCTTGTCATCATTATACTTTATTGTATACTAAACTGTTTAATTGGAGAAAAAGACCAGACAGAACCTATTGTACAAACGACAAACCAATGTTTACAAAAGCTGAAGCGTTAAGACCCTTTTTGAAGTGAGGCGTAAGCTTCAAAGAGTGAGGCTATGCCTCATGAGTTATAGTATATTTTTACTTATAAATGTTATTAACATGTGATATATAGCAGTACAAAATTTTACAATACATCCAAGTCTTGATTAGTAAATAAGAATTAAATATGTTAAGTGCATATGCAAATCATAATAACTTAAGCTACATTTACAAGATATATATCTTATTTCTAGTCACATGGTCATATTCAAACACATGAATGGAGATTAAATTTCCTTATCTAAGGGGAGATTCTTGAGAGGAAAAAAAATGAAGAACTAGGGTCATTTTAATTTAAGTCAAAATATCTTTGATATCCTCCTATCTTGTGTAAAGTGTGTTCTTCCAAAGAGAAGCGCTTCATAGATCATGAAGTGCACTTACACTTTTGTTATGCTTTTAAGTGATGAAGCATAGGCTCCAAGGGCAAGGGATAAATAGCTTCACTTATGAGTTTTGTTGCGATTATCCTTTGAAAAGTTTTGAAGCGGGTTTTAGAAAAGCTTTTTCAAACCCTGCGCAAGTGTACATACTTCAAGTTCCCGTTTAATTCAGATTGTGTCTGTGTTTTTCTCTAGCTATCTTGTCATTTTATCCTAACTATTATGACTATTTCTCTTAGTGCATGATTGTGTTTTCTTCATGAAGTGCACCCTTATCATCTGTGCATTTGGATATGCTGCAAGATTAAGCTTGCTGGAAAACAACTTTTTTGTAGAAGCACATTCCTACAATGGACAACTTCGACAGACATCTAATGAGTTCACATTTATGTTACCCGGGTACTTCTATCATAAAGTTGTACCCGTTCCCGACACTTATCCGTACCCAAACTTCATGGACACTCCTTGGTTGTGTGCATGCATTTACCCAAACATGTACTCAATTATACAATATATATTTTAATTTAAAATACTTTTCATACACTTCTTGGACATATATCCTACACTTCATGCCTATTTTTTGAAACTCATTAGACATGAGTCCAGTTGTTTCAGCCTGTATCCAAGTTAAAAACTATGAATTAGAAGGGTGTTTTGAGTGTCTAGTTAANGCGGTTTTCAATTTATTATAATCAACATAATAAAAGAAACTTCAAAATATGATAGAAAATTAAATTCAAATAGCACGTGAATTAAAAACTAATACTGATTTCATGTAAATTATTAATTTCGATATATATATGTTGTCGTGTCCCTGTACCCTACATTTCACAAATTTGCCGTATGGCCCGTAACCCCAACCCATATCGGACCCCTGCCTATTTCCATGCAACTTAGGTTCAGAATAACTTTGTTTGGGTAAAAAGTAAATGTATAAGCCTTTCTTCTTTAGGTGTTTACAAGTTAATGGCCATTTTAACGCCCTTCTTCGATACAGTATTATTCCAGATATTAATGGGAGAATTGTTTTCTTTCTCATCATTTCCCTGCTTGCTTTTTTCTGTGACTATTGTGAGTGGGACCTTTTTTTGTTTGTGGAGAAGATGTTACATTAGAAGTTTTGTTGACCTTAGAAGATGATGAGCAGAATGCCATCACATAGAACACTAAATTCAGAGAGAACAGAGCCTGACCATTTATCAAAGAGTCGAGAAAGGGTAGCTTCTGCAGCCTATACATGAGGAGCTATGTTCCACATTTTTTCTTCTCCCACTGCTAATGGCTGTATTGCACATTGTAAACTCCATATTTATGGTGGAAGTTGCCTTTGTTTCTTTCTTTCCTTTTTTCTTCTTCCATCACTCCTTGTAACTGGCAAAAGCTTGACGACATGATGAGAGCTAGTGATTCTATAGGAAGAAAAATAGTTATGAGAAAAAGAAAGTAGCAATCCTGCTGCTGTGGATTGGAATGAGAAGAGAGATTTTATGGAATATAATAGGAACAAGTGAAACCTTACACATGATTCTGTTAATTAAGCACCATGGAAGAATGCATCCTTAACTAAGCTAAACTGACATGTATATTTATGCTTTCTACTACTACAGTAATTTATCTTCTCAGGATGCTTATGATATAGATTTTCTGCTGATGGGATAATCAAACAGTATGCAAAAATGATCTTTTTTATAGTAGCATTTTCTTACTATCTTGTGGTTTATGCAGTTTTCATATTGTAACATTGTATGCATCTCCATTTATTTATATTTTCTCCCCTAGGTGCAAAGATAACATGAACAATCTTGTGCTATCGTTGGCTCCAAAATTTATGAGGCTTCAGGCTCTATCTTTGCGTCAGAACAAACCTCAACTTGTGGATGATGGCGTAGAGACTATTGCAAATTACTGTCATGATTTGCGAGACTTAGACCTAAGCAAGAGCCTCAGGCTTAGCGACCGTTCATTGTATGCCTTAGCTCATGGGTGCCCTCGCCTTGTAAAACTCAATATCAGCGGTTGTTCAGCCTTCAGTGATTCTGGTCTTGCATACTTAACGGGTTTCTGCAGAAACCTAAAGTATCTGAATCTCTGTGGATGTGTGCGAGCTGCGTCTGACAGAGCCTTGCAGGCAAGAACATTACCTATTTCAATTCGATTTTTCTGTTGCTTGTTGCAAAACTTGTATATTTATCTTTTGTATGTTTTTATGCAGGCCATTGCACTTAATTGTGGTCAGATGCAAACATTAAATTTGGGATGGTGTGAGGCTGTGAGTGATAAAGGTGTAGTAAGCTTGGCATTAGGATGTCCTGATCTGAGAGCTGTAGACTTGTGTGGCTGCATCCTTATAACAGGTATTCTTTGGAGAAGATAATGAGAATCGGTTTTACTGGAACAAGTCTAAATATAGTATTTTCTGTTTTATTTTTGTTTTTTGGGTTTTAGATATTAACCTTCCAAATTGTAGCTATTTTTTTTTTATCCCAAATTCATTG